CGCGCCTGATTTAAATGTCACACCTGAATGCTCTCATCCTTTTAATTATGTTTGAAATTATGAACATTGCTCAACATCATGAAAATTAAACCTTATTTTCAATAAGCAATCCTGAAAAATATTTGGGGGTGCTTGACTTTTTTCCAGGTGTATATATTGGGTATATCTTCACGAAATTTGGCAGTCTTTCAGTTAATATTACAAGCCTTTCACATACAAAAAATCATATTTCTTAGTGAAGTATTTTTAATAAAATAAGATAAAGATGTGCCCATTGATATATTGAGTATTTGTTTTGAATACTCTGTGTGCAAGGTAATTTTCATGTTAAGATTAAAAATACTTTTCGTCATCTCAAAAATCTTAAATTTTCTTTGTGTAATCGCTAAAACCTCATAAATGCATTTCAAGCGTTTTTTGTTTTTTTTTCATGTAAAAGGTCCTAAAATTTAAGTTTTAATAAAACACTTCTCCATGAAGTAATTGGCTTAATTAAAAGAAAGTTAAACAAAAACAAAAACAGTTTGGTTATCAGAACCTGGTTTGTTAATATTTCATATTGTTATGAATCTCATGCCTTGCAGGAAATGAAACTGTGGAAATTTCTATTGCCAGGCACATTTAATGCAGAAAAAATGAAAGTTTAGTCCTGTGTTACATGCACTGAGACTCCTGGAATTTTGATATGTAAAGTGTACATGAACCCTGTTTGATGATTGTTTAGATTACTTGTATTATCACAGTGTCGGTAGAGTTTGCATTTTTTAACATATTTTATATATTATTAGTCTTTTGAAAGGAACAAATAGAACAATGGGGGATTAAAGTGATTAAAACATAAGACCCATGAGCTATAATGCTTTTCAAAAGTACTCTTTAACAGAAGTGAAAAGGGAATAAGGCCAGAATGGTGCCAGAGAAGTTTATATGTTTTTGTACAATAGAAGTTTTAATTAAATTAATGAATTAATAAAGAAGGTGTATCATCAGTGTGACATGTGAAAAGAAGGCAAAATATAATAATAGTATAGGTCAGTGGTAGAGAAAGTAGCAGAAACAGTATCAAAAAATAAATTGGAAAATGAACATTTAGAAAAGAACTGTGTGTTAGGCTACAAAATCTAAATATGAAACAGCAAGAAACATTGAGAAATTCTTTCAACTTCTGGAAATTTTGAAGATATGACATATATAAGTAATGGTGGTGATCAAAGTTTATGATATTTGAAGTGGTAATATTTTGGGTTCATATCTAGAAAGTGTGTACATTTCTCAGTAACATTAACGGTTTGTATCAAAAAAATGTTTATATTTCTCTGTATTATGAACTGTAATAAATTCCTGGATAGAATATTAGTGCTACTAATAGTACAAACCTTAATCCTAGCATTTCTGACAGATTGTATCTGCCTAATTTGTAAAATTTTCTTTATGTATTTTAATATATTGGTATATTACAAGATCTATACAGATATTTGTTTTTCTGTTTACCTGTTGCTTTTCATCTCACTTTTAAAATTGTTTTCACTAGCTTTTTACATTGTTTTTATTAGCTTTCTTCAATGGCTTTTAATATTGTTTTTGCTAGTTTTCTACAGTAGCATTTAATGTTCTTTTCACACTCTTTCTTAGTAGATTTTAATTGTTTTCTTTAATAACTTTTATCATTGTTTTCATTAGCTTTCTTCATTCCACTGTTTGTTGTCATTGTGTTTTTTTATAAGTACCTTCAGCACTGGAGATTTATAGAAATTATTACAACCAATGTCCACAATGCCATTCTTACCAAGATGTGTTATTGATGAATTTGTTGTGTTTTTATTACACATTTTACCACTGTGTTTTCATAACACATCATCATTATCCTTTTGATCAGTTGACCATTGCTTCAGATTTTTTTTATAGTTTTAAGGGCTGAGAAAATTTCTATAAAGTAATAGTTAGTAAACATTGTAAATGTAAAATCATTTCCTAATTTTAGCCGAGTCATGACTTTACGAGAACACTCAGCTTGGATAGTCAAGGCAAAGCTTCTTCAGAACTCTGAAGGAAATGGACAAGTCATCAGTGGAAGGTATGTATTTACAAAGTACAGAGTAAGTAGTGACAAGTATGTGTAGACGTAACAAGAGTTTGTATGTGAGAAACATAGCAATATAACTTTTGATTAGTACACATTCAAAATTTAACCAGCATTACATAACCACAAGTAAGTGTATAAAAACATTTTGCCTGTATAACTTTCGATAAGTATATAGTGAATGTTTAACCAGTGTAGTAGCCATAAATGAGTGTAAGAACCTTAGCCTGTATGACTTTTGATAAGTATATATTCTTTCTGTTAACCAATGTAAATGATAATTCAGAATTTTCCCTGTATGATGTTTGTTGAATACAGTACGTATTCAAAGTTGAACTAGGTGAATAGCTTAGCCTTTATAACTTTCAAAAACATATTCAAAGTTAATCAGTTGAAGTAACTACAGTTGAGAAAATTCATTTGGCATATCCACAGACCATTGTAAACAGAACATGGTTTGTATGAGAACTGTTTGGTTTACATTTTTCAATATAGTGTTTGAAATAATTCATGAAAATCAAGCATGCTGTAGGTAGCAGAAATGTGTCATATGTACATTGTCTATTTCATAGAGTCACCAACACTTGGAAACAATAGAGAGAACATGTATAATAACAATAACCATGATAACAGAAATGAGAGGATTCAGGTGCATTTTTAGTTCTTTCTTTGAGCAACGCTGTATTAAACAGTTTTAAGTTATGATAAGTATGTAAGTAAAACACGTGATAAATAACTATGTATGAGACTAATAACTAATTTATATATTAGCAGTTTAGCTATTGTACATATCCTGGACATATTAGCAATAGAGTCATTTTAACTGTATGAAGTATGACCTAAGAATAAGCCATTGTTTGCCAGCTACATATTTACTCATTGTGGCTTGTGAATGAGTACATAGGCTCCACAATGTGGTTTCGTATTCAACATACTCCTAATAATTTATTGAATACTGCATGGTATGTCTCTTCAGAATTTAATGTTACTGACACCATCAGCAAGTTTGTGATTGTTAATTGAACTGAAAATAAACAGCAATTATATATTCAAAAAGAATCTGACAATCTATAAGGCTAATCTTAAAGTCAGTAAAAATATGTAATACTGATTTTTCTCATGTTATAAGTTTATTTATTTACATACATTTTGTTTGAAGTAAAGTTACAATTTTAATTGTTTTAGCTATGTCAAGTACATAGCAATTTAGTAATTTTAACCATGTTAAACATGCATTAGACATTCAGTTATTTTTAGAAGTGTTATGTGTAATTTAGTAGTGTAACTATTGTCAGCTGCACCAAGTATATATTAACAGTTCCATAAACATTAGCAAAATGAAAACTAATTAACAATTTAACCCTAGTTATATAGTAAACAGTTCCACCTTTGTTAATAATGGCAGACCTTCAACACCAAGTATTGGTAGTAAGTTGTCATAACTTCATCTTGAGTATGTTATAAAGTTGTAATTTACATATTTTTCTGAAGTGATACCAACAGTGAGAAGTAAAAAAAAACGAGAAAAGTTTATAGAATTATCACTAAGTGGGTGTTTGAAGATTTACACTACCTCAACAAATCAGTATCAGCAGATTAAAGTTTTGCTTCATTAGTACTTAATGTGTGCAAGATTATGGTTGTCTTGGGGCTTTAATACTACTTTCTGTGACTAGGTAATATACTGTTGCTGTAGTTGTGGTTTTTTATTTCAGTGTTGCTGGAGATGTGAGGTTCTGGGATTTACGACACACAAACTCCCTCCAAAAAGTCCCTTCATCACAAGGCATGACAGCTATGGCTGTGCATCAGTCCCTCAATATCTTAGCCTGGTGAGTTCTAGTGTAATGTGCTTTGAATACCAATCACTCTATTTCAGAAAAACTAGTAGTATTAACCTTTGTGATAACAGTTGTGCTCATTGAGCAACAGTGAAGTGCATGTGCACATCATTTCAATAACACTTAGTGCAAAAATAGAATATAGATGTTTTAAAAAATTGATTGCATTTTAAGAAGTCAGAAAAAATAGTTTGTCATACATAAAATCATATCAGTTTTTGTTTAATTTTAAAATTATGTGATATCAATTATTGATGTTCTCTAAGAACACAGAAAATGAATGTCAGAATAAAAAACTTATTGGTCAAATGGCTTCTTTTCTTAAGTCATTCAGTGTTAAATTATAAACAAAGGGGTATGATTAATGTCAGTACATAATCCAATTAATCTTCTTAATGTTTAGGGAATACTGTTACTAGAAAATGATATGAAAGTACTTAGGTTTCATTTAACAGGTAGTTAAGAAAAAAATTTACACTCTTTTAAGCATGTAACAATTGCATTATAGAATTATGTTAAAATTTTTCAAATTAGGAATAGTTATCAGAAGAGGAAGACAACACAAATTGTGCATTCTGTGTGTATATATAGGTATGTTCTTTAGAAAAAAGTGGTTCCTACTTCAATATATAAATAACTGGCAGTTGAGGAGTTTCAAAAACTTTGATATTTGTTTTTATTTACCCTCTGTAGTGGCTCTGTGAACCAGATCATCAATGTGTACAATACCCTTGGTGAGACAGTTAGTGTCATTAAATACCATGATGGATTCATGGGTCAAAGAATTGGACCAATTAGCTGTTTGGCCTTTCATCCTTACAGAGTAAGTTATTATTGTAAAAGTGGTTCTAGACAAGCTGATATTTACTTAATCATTGTTGTAAAGTTGTAAGTGGATGGAAATGCTATTTTAGACTTGTTTGTGTGTGTGTGTATTTATATATATATATATATATATACAAACACACACATACATACATACATATACATAAAAGAGATGTTCATAAAGAAACATTCAAATAAAAATCTCATATGTTTGGGATACGAGTATAAAAACTTTGCCTGTATGAGGTTTGATAAGTACTGTACATTTACAGAGTTTAACTAGGTGAGTAGCCACAAGCGATTAATAGAAGCTTAGCCTGTATAGCTTTCGAAAAAACATATATTTAAAGTCAGTTGCAGTCAACAAATGACCATATTCATGTATCAAAATTCACTGGTGGCTAGATGTTCTCTTGCAATATGATAATGTTAGGCCCTATATTGTGATACACAGTGGAGAAATATGGATGGATAGTCCTTCTGCATCTTGGATACAGTATTCACCCAGCACCTTCTGAATTTCTTCATTGTGGTCCTCTCAAGTATTATCTGCATGGACATTTTAAACAACATGATGTTCTTAAATTGCTTGTATGCTGAGTGCCACCACATCAACATTTTACCAACTGATATGAAGAAGCTCATTGAACAGTGAAGGGAACATATCACACCTAGTGGGGACTATGTAGAGAAGAGACATCTAGATGACCACATTCTGAATGCTGTTGGTGTATGTTTGTTAACTGTAATTTGATGTGATTGGTTTTCAAGATATATAAAAATCCTGCTTTTTTTTCAACATCCCTTTTATATGAAATTTCATTCAAACATTGGGTGTTCCTATTTTAATATCCAAATGTTACACTTTAATTTGCTTTAACGTTAATTTTTAGTGAGCAAATATATTTGATTTTGAGGGAAATGATAACCAATCCTAGATTACAGATCAGCTGGTGGGAAGGGATTTTCAAATAGATAAGTCACAACAGTGGGTGCAAGTTGATAAGCATGAATAAAGCTTACTTTTAACTTGTTAATGTTATGTCATATTTGTATAGCTTGTCTGTATGAAAGCTTTTCATAAATTAGTTGGAAATTAACTTGATAAATATAGTGAAATTTCCTAAGAGATTAGTTTTTTTGCATATAAACTTTGTTACCAAGTGTGTGAATGGAGAGGAGAACTAATATAATGAAAGCTGGCACATAGATTAGTTGAACAATTTCACCTAATCTACATCTAGATAGAAATGTTGAACAAGACCGAAGTGTTCCTTTCTCTCAAACTGCTCTTAGGCTTCTTTGGCTGAAGCCCTCAAACCCTACTTTGCAGTATGCTTAGCAAAATAAGTAGCCATATTAATGTGTCCTGATTTAAGATTCGTGATATTGCTCATTATATTAAAGGTACTCTGAACAGTTGGGTCATGGAAGTTATTCGTCAGTGCAAGTGCCCTTTTTCAAAGAGATAGTTTCAATCATAGTGACTCGGCAGTAGCCCACTACATGTCAAATTAAACCATGACCCTTCCTTGCTAATACCAGATGTGAACTACTTCTGACTTGGTTCTGCCCCACCTCAAGTTAAAAGCTGTTCATTTTCTTTCAAAATATTTGTGGCCAGAAGGTGCACTTTTCTCATTAATGTTTTATAGTAATTTTGTGCTTAAGTATTTACATGCTACCAAAACTGAATCCACACTCAGCTACTGCCCATTAACCCTAGGACACCAGTGTGGAGTCACTGTATCTCCATACCAACTGGTGTTAATTATTGAAAATTTAATGCTGGTCTTTTAGGATTAATGTATACACATGTATATGTATTATTATAATTATAAACTTTTTTTTGTTAATTTGTAAAATTCAATATGTATCGTGTTTGTGTGTATCATGTGAGCATACAGCCAGAAATTCTCACACCATTTGTTTTCCCCAGTGGATTTATGCTGATCTTGTGAATCCAGCAATACATAGAGGAATTTTATGTCTGTCCAAAAGACATAATTATTCTGATCTCTCATTATTTAAGCATGTTGATAAGTCATTGTGGTTGTATTTTTTAGTTTTGTTTTGTAAAAATATATGTTTAGAATCTTTTAACCTATTCTTTTGCTTGGGAAACTAAATAATGTTTAATCTTTTATTGTATGTTTAAATCACACTAAAAGAAAGTTATGAAACCCGAGTGTTTTTGATTTATTAAAAATTTTTGATCCTGTGTTTCTGAAAGTAAATATTAGAGTTGTTTAGTATACTTGTGTTAATTTTACACACTTTTCCCTTGTAGGCAAACCTTGCAGCTGGCAGCACTGACTCGTACATCTCAATTTACACAGTTGATAGAAAACACTGACCCAGAAGTAGCTAGCGTTTATTAAAGTTGATTTGTGAATAGCTTACCGAAGATTAAAAAATTGGTCTACAGTACTGTGTAAATATTTCATCATAAAAAAGTTATAATCAAGTGTCTTGGAGTTTGTAACTGCAAGATTCTTGTGTGGAGAAGTATTTTTTCATTCTTTGGGTGTTGAGATATTCTCTTCCTGGCATTTCAGTTACTGACATTTTTATTTCTAGTTATCATAAAAAGTCACTGACTTTTGGCCAAACTTATAGCCATAGTTCATGTTACTAGGAAGAGCTAAACACAGATTATTCAGTTAATGATTAATTAAAATCCATAACTAGTGTCCTGCTCCAAGCCAATAGAGAAGCTATTGACCAAGAATGTAATATTTTAGAAATCCTGAAAAGAAAGAAGCAATCCCTGGGAAAATCAGTAAAAGCCTTGCTTATGTAGAATGATTTGTATATTCTGTATGCTGAGAAGTGAAAAATAAATTACTCTATGGTGAGAGGATCCGAACAATCAAAGTTGGCATCTTGAAAGATTCTACAAAAATGTGAACTATTTGTGTAGTTTGGAATTTCATATACCATTGTTCATTAAGGATGCAAGTTATTCCTCAAAGCTTGTATAATAAATAAATGGATGGGAGTGCCATGTAATGTACAGTGATGTGTACAATGTATTTTACCTGTACAGGAACTTCTAGATGTTCAGTTGGGTCACCTGTGACTTGTTTTTAAAAGCAGTGTAAATTTTCCTTTCAGCCTCTCAGGTTTTGGAAAAAGTAAGAAATAAAACTAGAAATCAAATTAATGGGGCCTTTTGTGTAAGTGGTTCCAAAAATTGAATAAAATACTGAGAAGAAAATAATTATCCGTGGCTGTTATTTCTTGTTTATAGAACATTTTGCAAAGATAAATGGAGTTTTAACTTTTCTGAAGGTATTAATACCATACTAAAGGATCATGTATGCATGTTAAATTACCTAAGTCTGTTCATATCCAATTAGCTTAGAATTGAAATTTTACAAGATAGGGTTCTCACAAGTCAGGGAGATTTCAATATGGAAGAATACATGTGCATAGATATGGCTAGGGCAGTTTTCTCATTCATTATCCTAAATCAGTTTTATTCATAAATTTCTAAATCCATTATCACTATGAAGGATAATAATACTGTTTTTCAGTGAACATTATGGTTACCTTAAACCAGTGGTTCCCAACCTGGGGTCCGCGTAGGTAATACCATCTCATTAAACAAGTAAGTTTTTAATACTGATGTTCTTTTTAATTGCACACTCAGTTATATGTCTTTTATTTGATAGTGAAAAGTGGGAGAATGAGAAAATTATTAGTTAATAAAAACAGTTTGTTGGGTAGGCAGAATCTGTGGGGGAAAACAATTATAATAAAAGGGGGGGGTCCTTGGTGGAGCAAAGGTTGGGAACCATTGCCTTAAACATATTAGTACTATGAACACAGAGAAGAATTTAAAATAATTTCACTATCCGAGACAATCTGATTTAGCTGTTCTGCCTTTTATCTTACTTTGATACAGCAATGAGTTTGTTCATTTGAATCTAGATTTTTCTAGTCTGCTTAGGATTTTTATTCGTATTAATCCAGAGCTGTAATTTTTAAAAATAAAAACTAATGTAATATATTTAACTGTTACACTGGATATCAAACAAATTTAGTTACATTCTAATATTTTTATATCTTGAACATTAATATTTATTAATTAATGGGTTTGTGAAATTAGAAAAATAGAATTCACTATCTGAAAATGATCCAACTTCTCTAATTTAATTAATCTGTCTCATTAACCATTGAAATGAATCACTCATTCTTTACACATCCAGCATGGATTGGCTATAGGCCAGCTTTTACTATAAAATTATTTTGTTTTATATATAGAAACATAATTACTTGTGCACATTCCTATGAAATAACCAATAATTTTTCTAATGTGACAAGAATATTCTGGTCAGGTAATTCTGAGTCCATCAACCTGTGGGAACCCTGAATGAACATTTATAACAATGTTTTGGACAACTCAACTGTTCCATCATTTAAATTGAAATGACTAAAGAAAATATCTTAAAGTCAGCCCTTTTCATTCATATACTTA